GGAGAAGGGCCTAATCCTGGGAAAGATGGAGGGCAAGAGAAGAAGGGGACGACAGAGAAGGAGGTGGCTGGAGGGAGTCACTGAAGCAGGAGGCGTAAGCTTCAATGGACTCCAGAAGATGGTAGAGGACAGGAAGGCCTGGAGGAACGTCGTCCATGGGGTCACAATGGGTCAGACACAACTTCGCAACTAACAACAACAACAACTCAGATTTTTATTCTCCGCTGTTCTCTTGAGCCACGCTTAATTCCACCGTTGCAATTTTTGAGGAGAACTCTTACAGCCATTTGACTGTCCGATCTTTCACAAACGAAAGCACTGGCACCCCCAATCAACAACTAAAAAGCCACAATATACCCAGGCACCACATACATACTACACATAGAATAGCCCAAAATGCAGAGTCTGATGGGAGAGAAGTTCCTTGAGGATGGGCTTCAGCACAAATCTAAAAGCTCAGAGGGCTAAACCTCTGGTCCCGGGAATTCATCCAGACTGGATCCTATCTAATCTTTTCTTAAAAGCCTCCAGCGATGAAGCACCCACAGCTCCAGGAGGCTATCTTCCTATTGATGGATTGTTCTCACGATGAGCAAATTCCTCCTTATTTCTCATTGGGATTTCCCGTTGACTGACTTCCATCCTTTGCCCTCAGGTGCTTTGGAGAAGCAGTTCATTCCCTCTTCTTGACAGACCTTCAAGTACTGGACGATCACGTCTCCCTTAATTCTTCTCTTTGTTAGGCTAAACATACCTACTTCCCTTCCAGGGATAGGCAACCTTGGCTCTTTTATGACTCGTGGACTTCAAGTCCCAGACCCCTGATCATCTCTGATGCTCCTCTCTGCACTCTTTCTAGGGCAGTGTTTCTCAACCTTGACAATTTTAAGGCATGTGGACTTCAACTCCCAGAATTCCACAGCCAGCATTGCTGGCTGTGGAATTCTGGGAGTTGAAGTCCACATGCCTTAAAATTGTCAAGGCTGAGAAACACTGTTCTAGGGACTCAGCCTCTTTCTTCTATTGCGGTGATCAGAACTGAAGATAGTATTCCAAGAAGAGCCTCACTGGTGCAATATAAGCAGAACAGAACAACAGAGTTGGAAGGGACCATGGAGGTCTTCTAGTCCAACCCCCTGCTCAGGCAGGAAACCCTATACCATTTCAGACAAATGGCTGTCCAGTCTCTTCTTAAAAACTTCCAGTGTTGGAGCATTCACCGCTTCTGGAGGCAGGTTGTTCCACTGGTTAATTGTTCTAACTGTCAGGAAATTCCTCCTTAGTTCCAGGTTGCTTCTCTCCTGGATCAGTTTCCACCCGTTGCTTCTTGTCCTGCCTTCAGGGGATTTGGAGAATAGCTTGACTCCCTCTTCTTTATGGCAGCCCCTGAGATGCTGGAAGGCCACTATCATGTCCCCCCTCATCCTTCTCTTCATTAAACTAGACATACCCAATTCCAGCAGCCGTTCCTTATATGCTTTAGTCTCCAGTCCCCTCATCACCTCTGTTGCTCTTCTCTGTACTCTTTCTAGAGTCTCAACATCTTTTTTACATTGTGGTGACCAAAACTGGCTGCAGTATTCCAAGTGTGGCTTTACCAAGGTGTTGTAAAGTGGTATTAACACTTCACCTGATCTTGATTCTCTCCCTCTGTTCATGCAGCCCAGCACTGTGTTGGCCTTTTTGGCAGCTGCAGCACACGGCTGGCTCCTATTTAAGGGATCGTCCACTAGGACTCCGAGGTCCCTCTCACAGTTGCTACTATTGAGCCAGGTACCCCCTATACGGTATCTGTGCATTTGGTTTTTCTTGCCTAAATGTAGACTCTTACATTTTCACCACTGAATTTCATTTTGTTAGAGAGAGCGCTGTGTTCAAGCAGTATTATTCCTTCAGATCATCCATATGCCATCCCCGTTGAGGCAGCCAAGGACCGCATTGGCTTTTTAGAGAGTCTTTCCTTACACCCGGGCAGATTTCACAACCACAGAGACTTGCACCCTTGTGCTAACCCCTCCCCTCCCTCCCTCCCCTGTTATTTTATTTATAACCATAAAACGGGGGGGGGGGAGGCAAGGCTTCCTGCCATTCAGCTTCTGAGGTTGCAGGAAAAGGAATCAATACAATCTGCAGTTTGCATTTATGCCGACTAAGTACTCGTTAAACCAGGTTCGCACCTTTATAATTTATAATTTACTAAAGCCGTGTCTTTTCTTTCGTAATCCTCACACACAATATGGTTTTCCTTTTGTGTGGATTGCTTCTTGCCCCACTAGAAAAAAAGAGAAGTTCACACTAGTTTTTAGAAACACTCTTTTAGAAAGACCCCTGGGCCTTAAGGAGACAAATAATTCAACTAACTGTTTTTCCTTGACCAAACAAATATTCCTCTAGATCAGTGGTTCTCAACCTGTGGGTCGGGACCCCATTTGGGGTCGAACGACCATTTCACAGGGGTCGCCAAACAACGCAGTCCGCCATTTTTCCCCCCTTTTCCTTAGCTGTGCTCCTCCCTTTTATTCTATTGGCTTTTGAATAGAGTCTAATTCTATTGGCTTTCAAAAGCCAATAGGAATTGTCCAGGCTGTCTCTGCCCTGCTGAGCCCGCCATTCTGCAAACGGTGCTGCACCAGTTGAGTAGTCCTCGACTTACGACCGGTTGAGTAGTCCTCGACTTACGACCGGTTGGGGGTCGCGGCATTAAAAAGGTTGAGAACCACTGCTGTAAAGGGCTCCAGCCTAGAATTCCAAACCAGTTTGCTAAACAAGCTGGGACTTTAATGACCTGATTAACTCAATGCCAGTGAAAGCTTCAGGCCATGATTCCTTTTTTTTTTTTTTTCCATTAAAAAATCTAGTAGTGCATTTGTTTCTGAGAACTGGCCAACATGTTTATACAGGCAGTGGCTAGGAAAAAAAAAAGCCAGTGAATTAATCAGCTGATAGGCTGTATGAAGCTGTTCTCAGATGCAATGAATAAAAATTTAACTCATCCAATGGGGCAGCAAAATTCTTAGAAATTAAAAAGGGACGCTGCTGCCTCTCAGATGAATTAAACCAGGGGTCTTCAAACTTGGCCCTTTGATGACTCGTGGACTTCAACTCCCAGAATTCCTCAGCCAGGCATTCTGGGAGTTGAAGTCCACAAGTCATCAAAGGGCCATGTTTGAAGACCCCAGAGTTAAACCTTTATGCATTGCATCTGAGGGCAGCTTGAAGGCCAATGGAGTGTGTCTACATCTCCACCCTGACCTTTAATTGTCCTGATTCCCCCAAAGCAAGGATTTTTCTACTTTGCCGTACTGAACATAGAACAATATAGTTGGAAGGGACCTTGGAGGTCCTCTAGTCCATCCCCTGCCCATGACAGAAGATGCTATACAATTCCGAACAAATGGCTGTCCAATCTCTTCTTAAAAACACGTAGTATTAGAGCATCCACAACTTCTGGAGGAAAGTCGTTCTCACTGATTAATTATTCTCACTGTCAGGAAAGTTCTCCTTAGGTCTCTCTTTCATGATCTATCTATCTATTTATTTCTTTTTCAGATGACGATTAGCACTTCTTTTCACAAAAAATCACTTTTCATTGAGGTCTGTACGTTGTCCTTTTAGGCACAATGCTCTTGCACACTTAATAACGATAATATAGCACAAGCGTAATTTTTATTTGCATTGGGAAACGGAGCAATTTGTGTGATTCACTTTATTGCAAAATTCACTTTGCTGCGGTGGTCTGGAGCTGAACCCACAATATCTCCAAAGTATGCCTCTGTTCTTACTCAGATATATCAGCATGCTCGCAAGAGACACACACATACCTTTACAAATGCTCACTGGCACAAACCATACGTCATACAAATATTTAATATTAAACACACACACGCACACACACACAAAAACCATCCCAGCTATTGTATTTCTGTTGTTCTCCTGTTGGAGATCACAGTCTCGGCCTCACCCTATCTGCTTTCTATATTGCTACCTATTGACGGAGATTGTTGTTCAGTTGTTTATTGAATATGCACTTAAGGAGCCACCAAACATGGAGGGTTTGGAGGGAAAAACAGCTGGCATAGGGGCATCCTGTGTTTTGGCAGCCAAGAAAGAATTAGCTTTTTTTGGGGGGGGGTAGCATGTTCTGTCTGGCATACCCAATAAGGCTGGTAGCATCAGAGGCAGAACATCCAACATCCAACAGAGGCAGAAAATTGTTATGGCCTTGCACAAAGTTCTCCCTTTTCTTAAAGCTGACCCCTCTTTGTTTTTTCCACACTTATGGCTTCACCAGATCGAAATTCAGATGTTTGGCAACTGACTCATGTTTACGACGGTTGCAGGGCCCCCCAAGGTCACGCGATCCCCGTTTTGCGACTTTCTGACCAGCAAAGTCAACGGGGGAAGCCACGTTCACTTAACGTTGCACGTTACTAATTTACCAGCTGCAGTGATCCACTTCAGAACTGTGGCAAGGAAGGTCGTAAAATGAAGCAAAACTCACTCAACAAGTGGACATTTTGGGATCGGCTGGGGTCGTCAGCAGGGGTGGGATTCAGCCGGTTCGCACCCGTTCAGCAGAACCGGTAGCTAATTTTGGGTTGTCCAGGCCCATAATGGACTTCCGGAAGCGGCATCCATGCAGAGAACCGGTGGTTCACCTATTTGAATCCCACCACTGGTCATAAGTCAAGGATTACCTGGCATTTGCAAAAGATGCTCAGTCTGCTGGCTAACAAGGACAGTATCCCTTTCTAATTTTGGTGGGATATTGCCCCCAAAAGACCTTCAGATAGTCAGAATAGCTGTCTAAAAAACTCTCTGTTCAGCTCCTCCTCTGCTTTCTGCAGCTTCTAATGTTAGACCAAGTATGATGAAACTTCCTGACAGGGCTTGTGCGCCTGTATGTGTGTGCGTGCACCCGTATAGGGAACAAACTCTAATTAAACAGGACATTTGCTTTTAGCTTCACTTAGTCACTGGTATGGGGTGTGTGTGTGTGTTTAGACTAAATCTTCAGAAATTGCTCAATGTGCTGACTTCCGTTCAGGCAGAGTGAAGAAGTGGCTTTCAGCAAACGGGGTTGGATTCCTTTGACTGCACAGTCCTCCTGTTGTGGTCCAGGAAGCAGGGGGGGGGAGAGAACTCACAACAACAATGGCTTTGGGACATCCTGCTGGCTGTTGAAACTGCTGTCTGCCCTCGGAACAGCTTTTCCTAATATCTCGCCCGCCAGAACCAGCTCGGTCACCCCTACCGTCTTCTGCTCTTTCCCCACGCGAGGAAAGAGATGGAAGAAGGTCCCACCAAGGCAGGCCCGGCCACCCGACTTGGGCTTAGGGGCTGCCCGCAGAGGCGGAGGGGGGGGAGGTAGTCCTCCTCTTTGTGTGCGTGGCATATGCGTGTTCCTGGATCAGAACAAATGGGATACAAAGGAAGCAAGGAGAGAGTCCAACGCTATCTCAGAAAGCCAAGAAAGGTAACGTGCCTTTTTATATTTCTCAGATGGAGACTTTGCTTGCTCAGTCAACTTGCATTTACACAGGAGTTTAACTTGCTCACTGGGTTATCCATGGAAGGTCGCTGTCCTTCTGGTGGAGCTTCCCCAGTCGGGCAGCACGGACTGGGTAGTCCCCCAAGGATGGGTAACAATAACAAAGGAAGTCTAGGATCTTTATGGTTTTTCTACTTGGCTGTTGGTGCAGACACAAAGGCCTGTCTTGAAGGCTCTTTGGCTGGTCCAGCAAAGCAAGTCACACATGAGAAGAATGTGTCTACATCACTAAACAATGACTAACAGAAGAACAGAGTGGGAAGGGACTTTGGAGGTCTTCTAGTTCAACCCCATTCCGGACAAATGGCTGTCCAATCTTGAAAATCTCCACTGATGGAGCGCCCACAACTTCTGGAGGCAGGTTGTTCCACTGGTTAATTGTTCTCCCTGTCAGGAAGTTTCTCCTTAGTTCTAAGTTGCTTCTCCCCTTGATTAGTTTCCATCTGTTGCTTCTTGTCCTGCCTTCAGGGGCTTTGGAGAATAGGCTGACCCCCTTTTCATTGAGGCGGCTCCTAGATATGGGCAAGACAACCACATTGTTATGGCTCAGCTGAGGAGACTCCATCCAGACCTGGTGTTTTCCCCCTCAATTGATAATTGTGTTGATGTACCAGGGAGTTCGCTAATTCTATGACCCTTGAGAGATCATTGAAGCTGAAAGTGACTGGTCCCTGGTTGCCCAAGGACCATTTTTGTAGAGGGCAAAATTGAATCTGGCCCTGTGTGAATGGGCAGGATAAGGTCCTGAAAACCCTGTAGACCCTCTTCCATTTTGGACTTGTACTTGTATTCCAGCAAGCCTACATCTGACAATATCTACAGGCATTGCCCAAGACTCCATCGGTGTGTGTGTGTTTGTGTGTGTGTGGGCGTGTGAGCGTATGCACCCACCCACTTACCCACGGCTACAAAGCATGAACCCATTTGAGCTATCAAATTAGGCAAGAAGGCTGCTTGCTTTCGTAAGATCTCACCCTGGAGGTCCCCTTGTGTCTGTATCCTTGAGCCTTTGCACAGCGGTTGAGTGAACACATATCCCTCTTGAGCTGCAGACTCCAGTTCAGGGCAAAGTTTAGTTGTTTAAAAGCCCCCCTTTTTTCAGGAGATGGGTCTGGAGGTGCTCTGTGGGTGGGTCTGCACTTCCGTCTTGGTCAACGTCTCTGTGGCCCCGACCGCGGAAATTCTCTTGACAGCAAGGTTTCTGATTGTAGGTCTCAACATGTCCTTCTTCTCTGAGAACGGTTGTCCAGGGCATCGTGGCCCCAGACCCTCAGCCTCTAAATGGTTCCACAGAACTCAGCACAGCCCCCAATGGGAGCCCACTCTTGCTTTAAACCCTTCAGGGGGATGTGAGGAAATAATGTATCTATCCATATTGTCTGGCCTGACTGGAAGTGCATTATTATGCCTGTGTTCCACCTTGAAGAGCTATTGCAACCCTAGCAGGGAGGGAGAGAAGGAAGGAAGGAAGGAAGGAAGGAAGGAAGGAAGGAAGGAAGGAAGGAAGGAAGGAAGGAAGGAAGGAAGGAAGGAAGGAAGGAAGGAAGGCTGTCTTTGGTATACTTCTGTACAAGCCTGAAGATGTGACTTCTTTAACAAGCATTTAATGCGTTTAGCTGTTTAAAGCAGCTGCATCTTTTTCCAGCCTCCTGCAGTAACCTGAGGGAGGGAAGGAAGGAAGGAGGGAAGGAAGGAAGGACTGAGAGAAGGAAGGAAAGACCTACCAGGTGATTGACTTTGCAGACCAAATCCATCTCCAGCTGGGGTGAATGGAGGTCACGATGCCCCAGGACGAGGGTCCCTGAAACAGGTACAGGCTTCTCAATCTGGTGTCTCCCATTGCGATTTGGGCAGGGGGCTTCCTTTGGATCTCTGGCCCATTGCATGCCTAAGTGATTTCTCTGACTCCAACACTGACTCAGTCACCCAGACTCTAGTCATCTCATGACTGGACTACTGCAATGCACTCTATACATAGGGCGACCCTTGAAGGGCATTCGGAAACTATAGCTGGTGCAGAGTGGGGCACTGTCTGTCTGTCTGTCTATCTCTATCATCTATCTATCTCATCATCCATCCATCTACCCATCCACCCACCTACCCACTCCATCCGTCCGTCCGTGTCTGTCTGTCTGTCTGTCTATCTATCTATCTATCTATCTATCTATCTATCTATCTATCTATCTATCTATCTATCTCATCATCCATCCATCTACCCATCCACCCACCTACCCACTCCATCCGTCCGTCCGTGTCTGTCTGTCTGTCTATCTATCTATCTATCTATCTATCTATCTATCTATCTATCTATCTATCTATCTATCTATCTATCTATCTATCTCATCATCCATCCATCTACCCATCCATCCACCCACCTACCCACTCCATCCATCCATCCGTCCACCCACCCACCCACCCACCTACCTACCTACCTACCTCTATCTCTATCTCTAGGGAGCGAGGCTTTGATCGTGTGGCCATCCCAATGTTGGTGGCACCCCACGCAGATGCTCCTGGCTTTTCAGAAGAGCAGAAGGCCTGTCAGTAAAAGTCACAGGCCTTGTAAGGAAAGGAGGAAAAGGACAAAGCCTGCCCAGGAAATTTGACAGGAAACAAATGTTTCACCCACTGGTTTCCTCAACTCTCTTTGCTCCATCACTTTTCCCTAATACGCAGGAGACCCGGCTCTTTTTCTGCTGACATTTCTGCATTTTGGCTTCAGCAGACCACCTTTCTCCCATCCTTCCTCAGAGTCCCCTTTTAAAGAGCTCCACTCAATGGAGGCCATTGGCTTGCCTGGCATTCAGCCAGGAATTAATGCATAAAATAATGTACGCAGGGTAGAAAATGTGCACCTAGGGAATTTTTCTCCACTGTCATGGCATTTGGATCCGGAATGACCTGTTGACGTGTCCTACAACGAGGTTCCAGTAAAAGGAAGAACTGCTTTAGCAGCATCTGGGGTGCTTCCTCACGCAGCTTGTTCTCGGCATGTTGAGGTCAGCAGAAACTGATGCCAATTTGTTGGGAGATGGACTGGGATGGTGAGGACGGTGTAAGAGCTGGTCTTGTAGCTGTGACCTTCAGGAAGTGTGAATTCATTGACCCCCAGATGTGGTGATGGCCACCAGTGTAGACTGTTTCAAGAGGGCACCGGGCCAATTCCAGGAACAATTTTCAGGAGCTAGGAACCTTGTTGACTTCCAGAACCAAAGCTTCTTGTCGTAGGGACCAATTCTGGAAGAGAGTATCCTTGTCCCTCTTCTAGGAAATATCTGACCAGCCACCAGATACCAGAAAAGCTCTGGATAGAAAGGTCTCTGATTGCCTGACTTGTTTTCCATTCATTAGAGCATCCGTGTTTCCCCTTCAGCCTGTTGACATCACACTGGTATTATGGAGGACCTCTTGGCTCATCTGACCTGTGTGCAGCTCAGTGGCCTTCCCAATCAAAGTTTTAAGGTTGTGCCTATAGAGTTACAGGCAGAAAGGATTTCTCTTTCATCCATGAAGTATGGATATCCTCTGGAAGCCCTCGTTCCTTAAGCCACACTGGTGACAGAGCAAAACCACTGGATTTTTTCCCCCTGAGACTTCCATTTAGTGAAAGTCTGTGTAAAGCTTCTGTCTTTCTCCTAAAGGAGACGGGGGGGGAAGCATTATTTGGGTTCCAACTTTGGGGGAATGGAATAGATAGTGGGGGCTGACCTTCTGAACCAGTTTCTTTGAACCCAACGCATTATCTTGTAACTCCTAATAACCTTGTATGTTGTAAAATCACCCAGCTCGGGCACTTAATTTCTTGATTCTTGCCTTTAGTGTGGGTGAATTATGCCTTTACAACAGGGGTCCTCAACCTTGGCTCTTTTATGACTCGTGGACTTCAACTCCCAGAATTCCTGAGCCAGCATGGCTCAGCTTGGAAACCTCTCCCTTTTCGCTCAGCTTTGCTGGCTCAGGAATTCTGGGAGTTGAAGTCCACGAGTCATAAAAGAGCCAAGGTTCCCCACCTATATTAGGGGTCCTCAACCTTGGCTCTTTTATGACTTGTAGACTTCAACCCCCAGAATTCCTGAATCAGGATGGCTCAGCTTGGAAACCTCTCCCTTTCCCCTCAGCGTGTCTGGCTCAGGAATTCTGGGAGTTGAAGTCCACCAGTCTTAAGGTTGCCAAGGTTGAGGACCCCTGATATAGGGCAGGGGTGGGGAACTTGGGTTCTTTTATGACTCATGGACTTCAACTCCCAGAATTCCTGAGCCAGCCATGCTGAGGGGAAAGGGAGAGGTTTTCAAGCTGAGCCATGCTGGCTCAGGAATTCTGGGAGTTGAAGTCCACCAGTCATAAAAGAACCAAGGTTGCCTACCCTTGATCTAAGATATTGTTGGCTGATCAAGTTTCTGGGCAAGATCTGTTTAATTTGTACATATTTTAATTTTTGTGTTTTATATTTTAAATGTTATGTCATATGGTGTGCCTTATTTTAATCGTGATGCTTCTGACACACGTTTTCTCAACAACCATGACATAATGGGCTATGTCTAGTCTCATGAAAAGAGGGACACGATAGCCGTCTTCCAATATTTGAGGGGCTCCTACAAAGATGAAGGGGTCAAACTATTCTCCAAAGGACCAAAAGGCAAGACGAGAAAGAATGGATGGAAACTATCCAGGGAGAGAAGCAACCTGGAACTAAGGAGAAACTTCCTGATAGTGAGAACAATTAACCAGTGGAATGGCTTGCCTTCAGAGGTTCTGGGTGCTCCATCACTGGAAGCTTTTAAGAAGAGAGTAGACAGCCATTTGGCTGAAATGGTATAAGGTCTCCTGCTCAAGCTTGGACTAGAAGACCTCCAAGGTCCCTTCCAAGTCTGTTATTCCATCTCTATAAAATCTGCTTAGAATGGGAAGGTATGTAGACTCTACTC